ATTAAGTTAAATAGATAAATAGTTTATTCATTCAAATAAAATATTATTTTCATTGGATATATTATCTTTTTAACATATATATATATATATAATAATAATAATTGGATATGTTTTATAATTATTATAATGTACAAACATCCTTCTTTATTTGTTTTCTTTATTTGTTTCATGTATTTATTTATTTTTGTTTAATTATTTATATATTTCTCCAGGTTTAGTTTTATTATATTTTATTGATATTTTAGTCATCTTTTATATGTCACTTATTAATGAGTTCATTAAATCATGCACTGTTTTTTGTATTTTTAAAATCGAAGGCAATTTTGTTTTACTTCGTAAATTAACGAAATCAAGTCCAACATGACTGAATTTCAATTTCTTTTAATTCACGTAATAAGGAGACATTCTTTTTAGACAACATCGAGTGAATTAAATCATGTTCATCGAGTTAAATATTTTTAAGTAGATTCACACATTCTTCAAAGTTCATCGAAATAAAGAGATCATAATTTAATTTTTGGATTCAAATTTGTAAAATTCCACTGCTTAGACAACGTATAATCGAAGATACCAATATTAGACGTTGTGGGGGTGCCACCATTCCCCACGCATAACTGACTCCCGAACTCTTAAAATAAATTTCTAGTAATCGTAGACCAATTTTTGTCTTTCAAATATTTTTTCTTAAAATTATTTTAAAAGTCACTTCTAGGTATTCGACCCACCTAACCCAAAGGTCGATGACTACTCCAATTTCAAATTAAATTTTCATCAAAACTCCCAATTTTCCAAGAGTCATAATTAATTTTAAATTTGATTTCTTGTTAAGAAATGATTATGAAAAATAAAAACTAAATTTTAAGTATTATTATGAAAAAATTAAGTATTACAATGAATCAAAACTGATAATTTAACTACTAAATGTAAATTTAGCCTAAAAATAACTTGACAAAATTAACTGGAAGGAACGCCACGTATTAATAGTTTCTCAAAATAGTGAAACATTTATAAAAACAAAGATGACGATATCTGGCTTACAAATTGTTAAATCCTGCAGCCAACTGTTTGTTTCCTGAGAAAATGAAGCCGGCTACATGGCTACCCAATTCTACTCAAGTTTACCAAAAACATAGATAATATTTTTCAGGGAGATGTCAGGGTTACAACACATCCACAAACACTGGAAATATTTACAGAAATATAAATGTAGCAGAACCAGATGAAGAAAACCATGAACAATATATGGCAGACAAACACAAACCTGACTGCAACGAATGTGAGAACTCAAAAAATGGAGGCGATAAGACTACCAAATTGAACACAGATGGGAAATTCGGTGTATCAATTTAGTCTTTCTTATTATTAACTATTAAGTGAACCAATTTAATCCTTGATTCAAACTCGTCCATAGATGAATCGATTTAATCTATGCACTAACAAAAATATCAAATATATTCTATGCACTAACAAAATGAATCAAATAACACCAATTTATATAGATTTAACATTCATTGTTTGAAATAATGTCTATGGATCGTAATCCTGCGGTAGTTCTAAAGGATATGTGGATGAGCTCTTGTTCATTGAAACTCTTTAAGTTATAGCGAAATAAGAACAATTCTAACAGTAAAACCCAGCCCCGATGCCTCAACCATTCCAATAGAAACCCAAGCCTACAATATGCTGTGCAGTGGACAACAATCAAACCAACTAATTCCGATAGAAATCAAATTTAAGAGTCAAAATCAATGTCAATTAAGCGAACACCTGAATAATATGTTAATCTTAAGACGACATATTCGAAAACTCTAAAAACACCAAACAAACACAGAGATCTGATTCCCCAATCAAGATCATTATTACCGTCCACCGTGATTCATGGACAATTTGACATCATTGTTTCTTGGTTTTGTTTGCGCCGCCGCCACCGGCTCCAGCTGCCGCCTGCGCCGCCTTCTTTGCAGCCTTTTCTTGCAAGGCCTTTGCATCTCTGCCCATTCACAATTCAAAAAAAGAAGGAAATAAATATATAAAACTAAAAAGAGCGTGAAAGGAGGATGAGAATACGGAACCTTTCACGGCGTTGTTCAGGGGTTAACCCATCGTCCTTGGTCTTGCCTTTGTTGCCCGCTCGGGCTTGAGCCCTTTCACGATCTCGATCTCTCTGGTTACCGCGTTAGCTAATGTTAAAGAATTAACAAAAAGAAGAAGAAGAAGAAGAAGAAGAGGATAACACCCATTAAAAAAACAATAGCTGAGCTGAAGAAGTAACGAACTATGCATTAATCACACAAATCGAAAGGATATGAGCCATGACTGAATCCGGAAACCAGATTACGATCAGCAAACGCTAGCCGATGAAACACACAACAAAAAGATTAAAGAGTTAAATTTATAGGGCGAGAAAGAAAAATTACACGCAAAAAAGGGGAGTTGGATGATGTAGTGGAGGAGAAATAAGGCGTGGAGTTTAAAAGGAGGAGAGTTATTTGCGGGCAAATGGATCTGTGAATACATAAATTACGAAACTCGGCTATTTTCCTAGTTTTTCTTACTCTTAAAATTACGAGGATCAAAATACAATTGCACAAATTTGTTTTGACGTGTGATAATTGGAACATGTGAAAAAATGAAATCCAGCAAACCGAGCAAGGTTGTTTTTGTCTTTACGCAACCCGAGGAACTGCCACGCGGATCTCTAAAGGTTAATATTTTATTTATTAAATTATGATTATAATGATCGTTTCCACCTTCGATTGCAGTTTTTAATTCCCGAGTTTTAAACCAAACAAACTCCCATTTTCTTCTCCATTCTTTCATTTCCAAGAAATTTATTTTTATGTTACTATTCATGAACAAGTGAATTCCTTCTGCTTTTTTTTTTTTAAACGGAACTGTAAATTGTAATGAAATGGAAAATGGTAACCGGGGGAGGCGTACGCTTTTTGAGCAGTCGACGGCGGGGATACTCTGGCTGGTTCAACTCCCGATACCATTTTGGGAAACACTAGGCAGTCTGAAGAACCGTAACCTTCTGGAGATTATAAGGGACGATGAGTCTAACGAGATTACGGGGAAAGCTCCGGCTCAAGCGGCCTGTCTCTGCCCGCAGTTCCTCGGTTTATATCCCGGCTTCTGATGCCATTGTTAATATGAATAGTAGATCCCAGATATTGCCCAATAGAAAAAATTATCCATCTTTTTTATCATTATGTAATTGATAACTACTGATGTAATTCTATTTTCTAATTGTTGAATTTATGTTATTTCATTTTATTTTAACTCCAATTAATATGATTTCACCTTATTTATTTTACAAGATGTCACTTTCTTATATATAAATTCTTTTTATTTTAATGTTTAAGAGTCATTATTTTTTAATCTAATTCTAAACCCTAAATCATTATAAAAAAAACTCTAACCCTAAATCACTCCATAAGAAAACCTAAACCAAAAACTAAGACTAGAAAGTGCACGCCAGGAAACGTGCCTCCAAAGGCGCATCCACAGTGGCGCCACCTCACAAAAAAACGCTGGAAGACGTATCTCACAAAGTGTGTCTTTCTTAAAGCGCGTTTCATCAAACGCGTCTTATCTTCTCTTTCGTTCGAAGGGTGTTAAATCAGATATATTAACTGAAAAAGTGACTGACACGAATTTTTTTTAATGTTAAAGTGATTGCTGGATAAAAACGCACTTTACTTGAGACATCCGCTATATATATTTTTAAGTTTAACTGTTTTATTTTTGCTTTTATGTTATTAAGCAAAACAGAGAAGAACTCTTCGGAGGGATTAATTTTCTCTAATCTATCATTAATTATGCTAAGATTTCTTACTTTTATTTGGCCTTTATTTAAGGTTTTGCACGCGCCTATTTATTGAGCGTGAGTCAACGATCGAAAGAGGAAAAAGAGAATACTGTTTTGGGGTAACGTTTGAAATACACCCTTTTATAAAAGAAGAGTTGAAAGAGGCGCGTGGTGGTGGACTTCGACATGATTTTAAGTAGACACATAAGATGGTGGGGCCGTTTGTCGTGTATTTTTGTTGGGAGGAGTGAATTGTGAAATTGACATTTGATATGGGCTAAAAGCAAATATAAATGAAATTTATTCTGTTAGGCCGAATGAAATGTTGAAATTTAATAATTTAGGTTCCATTTTTTTTAAATTAGGTCATGTTTTGGTAATTAATTAATAATTTAAAATCTATTAACAAAATAAAGAAGAAATCGTCTTATAGATTTCCTTAATAAAATGTGTGAAAAATTATATATAGCTAATGATATGTTTACTATTTAATGTGAAATTTATCTAATGAAAAATATTTTAATTATTTTTCATTTGAAATTTCTTTTTATCAAACACTGATAAATGTATGTTTAATTCTAAATAATATATCAATAATTTGTTATAAGGTAAATTCAATATTATTGATTTAAGACGACTGCGATAATAGAATTTCTTATCATTAGGTTTTAAAAGTGTCATTATAATTCTTATTTTAAATTGTTGATAAATATGTTAAAATAGTTTAATATATTGTAATTTATTGTTATGTCACAGGTAACGTAAGAAAGAAGTCGGAGAGGATTGCAGAGAAGAAGAGAAGAATTCAGAATTATGATTCCAATTTTCTGTTCTTATTTCAAACCTTACTATTTATATTACAAGCAGACCTGACCCAATTGATTCCCAAACCCGAAATACACAGATGGGACGCAAATATCAATTCGACCCAACTACCCACTTAGCAACCCGTCGTCGTTTTGTATAACCCAACTTAAAACACCCGAAAGCTCTCCTCTCACCCGAGCATTCGCACAACCCTAATCCCTAAATCAATGGCTTCCCCCTTCAATCCCTAACCCAGCACCCAAAGACGTAACATTTATATACGATAATCCGTGAGAAAACAAGTTTAAAATTGGAATAAAAGTTTTTAATAAAATAATAAAAGCACGTGAATATTCGCAATCTAATTCCAGAAAAGGTCTATATGCTTATTCATAAACTAATTCCGCATGCACACTAAGCTCGACTTAGCTTTACCTCTACCTCTACCTTTACGAGTAGGCGTTGCCGGAATGTTTATCTCTTGACTTCGAACTATTCCGGCTGCTCCTCCGTAGCACAGCCATCTCTCGCTACCCTTGTTCATGTTCCATCGCACTCTATGAATCTCCACAATCTTGGGAGGGAATTCATCGACTCCGCATTCAGCTTCTTTTCTGGTTCGTTCGTTCTCTTTTTGCATTGGTTCTTCGGTTCTCAGTGCCAATGCTTGATCAACATCGGCTTTCTTCTTGCCATCACTTTTAGATTTTTGTTTCAGTTTGGTTTTCATAGCTGCCAATGTTTCCTCGGGTTCGGAGTCCACACCGGGATCGTTGCCATCACAAAGTGCTGCAACAGATTTAAGAACACACTGGCTGTTACGAACGAAACTCGGAATATATGATTGGCGACTCAGTTGTGAAAGCTTACCGAAAATTTGTTTATTAGAAGATGGAACTATTGCCTTCCGGCCATCACAAAGTGCTGCAACTGATTTAAGAACACGTTGGCTGTTACGAAATAAACTCGGAATATATGATTGGCAATTCAGTTATGAAAGCTTACCTAAAGTTTGTTTTTTAGAAGATGGAACTATTGTCTTCCCATCCTTCGCATTTTTTCCCGGGTTTGACTTGGTTAAGAAGGCACGCATGGATCTTTTTTCATCCACACAATCATTATTTGGCTTCTTCAACGGCAGAGGAATATTTGGTAATGGAGTGTTAACTATTACAGCGGAATCATCCTCGGTAAAGGATCCACATCAAAATGCGGGGTTCGATTTCGTGAAAAATCTTTCTCCACTGCTTTTGAGTTAAGCTGGTTACGAAAACAATAGTATCAAATATCAATCGATGCCAAAACTCGGAAGAAGCAGCTCACAGATACAAGACAAGCAGTTTTAAATTTTATTTTGAAGGAAATTTCAAGTAGTGGTATCACAGAATTACTTGAAATGCAGCATCAATGAAAGCACTCGAATAATTTTACACTGCCAGTTGACTGAGACTAAGGGCCAAGACTCTGTACCTTAAGAAGTGGAAGTAACATGATTTGCTAGAGAAATGCAGAAGGTTAAGTAACAAAAATATTTACATCTTGGAAACAAAGTCTGTCGGGGGGAATTTTTTTTTTTTTTGATAGAAGATGAGGCCTCGTAAAAACCCCCTTTATTTTACCCTCCATGTTATGAAAGTAACATGAAGGGCCTTGAAAGGAGGAAAAGAGCGCCTATAGTTATATTAACCAATAGAATAGTACATAGCCAGCCCTTACAACAACCAACACTTCCCAAAACGCATAAGACTTAAAAACCACTATCAGCTGGACAACGTAGTCACTAATACCATAAGACTGAAAACCAAAAACTACATAACAAAATGAAACATACACACCAACTCCCCAAATAGAAGAAAGCAAATCAACCTATACCATCTTTAGCTAATCTGTCCGCTTCCCAATTAGCAGCCCTCGATATAAGCCTTAACGAAATGTCCAACCCTTCCAAATTAGAGACTATCTCCTTCACCAATGGTTGGAATAAAGGGGTGCTTAGTTCCGGATTTTTGATCCACTTCAGCGCGTTGGATGAATCAGATTCTAAAATAATCCTCTGGTTACAAACCCCATCAGAATCAATAAGCAAGCTCAACCCCCTCTTAATCGCCAGAAGTTCTGCCATAATCGGGGGACCTCCCCCAACATTTTCAGCAAACCAATGACTCAACTTACCACTGCTGTCCCTAATCAGGCCTCCTATACCTCCTTTGCTCCACCCCTTCACCATTGCTCCATCAACATTAATCTTTATGAACCCAACTGGAGGAGGAACCCAGCACGAAGGTTTGGATCTTACTTTGTGGCTGACCATTGAATCAGCAAGTGTTAAATCACCCACCAGAGAATCAAAAGGAATATGCGAATCAAAACTAGCAGCAAACCAAGAAACTATTCTAAACCGAGCAATAAAGAACAACAACACCACATCCAACTTCCCTTTCTTAAAAATAACTTCATTCTTAATTTTCCAAACTGTCCACAAGACTGCCCTTGGAATGAATTTCCAAATAATAGAATTCGGAAGAAGCTCGTCCCACTGAGTGATGCACTCTAAAGGTTTACTAGGAATCACCCAATCAACATCCCACAAATTCAAAAATCTGACCCACAGTCCCCAAGCAACCTCACAATGCAGAAAGATGGGGAACCGATTCACCAAATCTGCCACACAACGGACATAAGGGATCTTCAATTCCAGCCACTCCACGCTTTAACAATTCCTCCTTAACCGCCACTCTCAGATGAACTACTTGCCATAAAAAGGTTTCAACACGGGGAGGTGCTATCCCTACCCAAACATTTCTGTCCCAAAAATCCTGATTCCCCTCAATACCATCCGAGTCAAAGAAACTCTTGATACATGAATTAGTAGAGAAACAACCCTCTCCATTCCCTAACCAAATCCAACAGTCTTCCTCATCATGCGACAAATAGGAGTTGTTCAACAAAGAAATCAGATGCAACCATTGGTCGACCTCCCAATCCACCAGATTCCTCCTGAATTGAATATCCCACACCCATCCTGCAGCATTACTCTCCCTAAATTCCACTACTTTCCCCTCTTTATTCATCGAAAGAGTATAAAATCTCGGGAACAAATCTTTGAGGGGGACTTCACCCAACCAAGCATCATTCCAAAAAGCCACAGAATGGCCATTTCCAGTTTTCCACCTCAAATTACTCCTAATACAGACACCAAATCCATCAATAGAGAAGAAGTTATTTATCACTCCTCTCCATATCCAAGAGGCACGAGCAGTAACAGAACTCTCAACCTTTTTGGAGTTCGGGTCCAAATTATTAACACAACAGACTACTCTCTTCCACCAAGAATCTTTTTCAGAGGCAAACTTCCAAACCCATTTTCCCAACAATGCTCTATTCAGAATAGCTAAGTTCGGGATCCCTAGACCCCCCAACCTTCTCGGCTTACTGACCAAACCCCAATTCACCCAATGTATGTTTCTTTTATCATTCGACCCCCCCCATAAAAATGATGCCATTATAGAGTTTAGTTTTTGCAACACCGCTATTGGAATTCGAAATAAGGATAGGAAATAAGTGGGAAGAGAGCACAAAACAGATTTGATCAACACCACCCTCCCTGCTAATGCTAGAGAATTCACCTTCCAGCCCGACAACCTATTATAAAAATTCTGCACTATTGGCTCCCACATTGCAACAGAATTTCTCCTAGACCCCAGAGGCAGGCCTAAATACTCTGCTGGGAACTTACCCACTGAGCAGCCAATTTCCTTAGACCAGTCAACAATCGCATCCTCCTCAATATTGATTCCGTAAATTTTGCTCTTGACTAGATTAATCTTCAACCCCACCAATAGCTCGTAAATCAACAGCACCCTTCTAACATTCTTCAAATTCCGGATTGTAGCCTTTAAAAAGATAATAAGATCATCCGCAAATTGTAGGTGCGATAACTTGAATCGACGATCATTGGCTCCCAACTCAAAACCCGAAAATAGTCCCAAATCCACTGCTTTAGTTAACATCAAATGAAGCAATTCACCACCCAAATTAAACAGCAAGGGTGATAACGAACATCCCTGTCTAAGACCTCTTTTTGTTTGAATTTTCTCAGTAGGAGTCCCATTCAGTAAAACAGAAACTGAAGCAGTTGACATACACTGAAGCATCCAAGAACGCCATTTTTCGCCAAACCCCATTTTACCCAAAATTTTCAGCAAAATCCCCCAGTCAACGGAATCATACGCTCTCTTAAAATCCATCTTAAAAAACACCCCCTTCAACCCTTTCTTCCTCCAAAAGTCGATCCCTTCATTCGCTATGAATGAGCAGTCCAGAATGCTCCTCCCTCGGATAAAAGCAAATTGGGACGGACTAATAATGTCATTAATGCATAAACTGAACCTCCTAGCCAAGACCTTTGACAAAATCTTATATAGCCCTCCCACAAGGCTGATTGGCCTAAAATCCCCCATCCCCTCCGGGTTGATCTTCTTAGGAATAAGCGAAATAAAAGAATGATTCACCTCTGGATCCCACTCCTTCCCCTCGAAAAAATCCCTAAAAAACAGCATAATACCCTCTTTCAAACTAGGCCAGAATTTCTTGAAAAAGCCTAAATTCAAGCCATCCGGGCCAGGAGCTTTGTTACTATCCGAATCAGCAATTGCTCTCCAAACTTCTTCTTCCGAAAATGGCTTTTCAAGTGCTATCCTCTGCTCTTCCGATAATCTTCGAAATTCCAGATTTATATCCTCAGCCTCCAACGAATTTTCCTGGGAAAACAGACCATTGAAAAACTCCACTACAGAATTTCTAATTGAGATAGGATCTTCTATGACTTCATTCCCCACCAAAAGTGACTTAATACCATTGTTTCTCCCTCTAACTGAAGCAGTTTGGTGAAAGAATCTTGTGTTCTTATCACCCTCCAATCTCCATTTCAGTCTCGATTTTTGAAACCAAATCGATTCCTCTTTCTTCTGAAGGTCCCATAACTCCCTCTTTGCTTCAATTATTGACCTCATTGTCACCGTGGAAAGGCCTTGTTGCATATCCAACTCCATTTCATGAATTCTTCCCTCCAACTTTTTAATTTTTCCAGGCAATTCGAAATAACCCCTCCCAGACCATCTCATTATCACGCCCTTCACCCTCCTAAACACCATAGACATGGACTTCCCCTTTTCCTCTTTGCAAATAATACCCAGCTCCTTACCCATCATCTCGGTAAAGCCCTCCTCCTCCATAACATAGTTAAACAACCTAAACGGCTTCCGACCCCAATTGCAATCCTTGTTCTCCAGCAGCACAATATTATGATCAGAGACTGACCTTGCCTGTAGTGACTGACTTAGCTTCGGGAACAAGCTGACTAATCTATGATCCACCAAAAAACGGTCCAACCTCTCAAACGTAGGAAGTTCCCTATTATTACACCAAGTAAACCGGCCTCCCGACAAAGGCAGATCTAGCATATTAGCGTTACTCACAAAGTCCCTGAAAATATTCATAGTCACCGAATTCACAACTCCTCCTTCTTTCTCCTCCTGTGACAAAACTACATTGAAATCTCCTCCTACGCATAATGGACATTCCACATTATCCAAAAAGGATAATAGTTCCCTGAAAAATGCCTCTTTCTCTGCGTCCAGACTAGGGCCATACACATTAATGAAACAGCAGCTTCCTGGGAGTCCCACCATAGTTCCTTTTAAAGCTACAAATCTGCTATACAAGGCTACATCTTCCATCACAAATTCCTTCTGATTCCACAATGTTATTAATCCACCAGCAGAACCTATGGAAGGGGCTACAGCCGATCCAGTAAGTAATTTCCCCCCCATTTTCCTCACTAACACATGGTTGACAACCTCCAATTTGGACTCTTGCAAAAATAGAATTGTAGGTTTTTTATCATCCACAAACCTCCTAATAGCTCGAGCTTTCACTCTCCTACCCAAACCCCTAACATTCCAAGACATCATCGACCACTCAACCATCAATAGTATATCATAACCTTTCAACTCAGCTACAACTACTGACGCTCCTTCGAATTACTTTCATTCACCAACGGAACCATCTTAGCCATCTTAGCCATAAACGCTTCCTCTCCTTCTTTAAATTTCACCCCCAACAATTTGGACACATTCCAACACTCCAAAGCCTCTGCCACCCCCTCATTCTCCTTCTCTGCAAAGGAAGCTAAGTCCTTGCCATTGCAACTCTTAACTTCCCACCTCCTAGAATAAACATTCTTATAAAAGCCT